CTGAATCCGAAGATCTTCGGCGTCCCTACTTGGTGGTTTGGTTGGCAAAAATCGGTGGTGGTTGAGGGGCTGCCCATGTACCCCTCTACAGAAGCCTGGGCTGAAATCCCCGAACCACCGATCCAAGCCGCCAACTCAGGGTTACCTGAGGTGTAGTTGACACCACCAAAAAAGGCTGCGTGCCATGGCTCAACGGGGCAGGTTTCAAGGGTCGTGTCATGCAAACGGATTGGATGTGTGTTCTGTAAAAATAAACGTTGCTTTACCAGTTCTTCCTCTTGTCATACTCTTCCAGTACTCTTTTGCTCTCCTACCAGGGGGTGGATCCACCTTTGTTCCGCATCCACACCATTCATTCACTTGGTCAGTGACCAGCCAGAAAAAAAGTGTAAACTTTTTGTGCCACCACTCGCAAAAAGGGAGAGCCACCCAGAAAAGAAAAGGTGTCAAAGCGTGTCCACTGCTGGGTGAGTTTAGGGCATCTGCCTGGTAGATCCTGAAGCCGCAGATGATCAAAGTGGCACTTGCCAGGCTGTAGCGCGCCAAGTTCACATAGCACTCGGTCAGCAGCTGAAGCTTCAACGACCTGGAGCTCGTGGGGCTCCGCGTCAGCGACGCCTGCCATGCGGGTTTTGGTGGCTGCACCAGGTGCCTGATGGCCTCCCATGGGCATGTGCTTGTCTATCTATACATACAATTGTATAGGGTATATAGAAAGAGAGAGAGAGAGAGAGAGAGAGAGCGATACGCATGATGCATACAAAATATGTACATGTGAATGTGTATGTGCACATATTTATATATACATTATATATATATATATGCTACCCCACCCCCAGGGACCTACCTTTTGGTTGCCTCTCCAGTGCATGATCTCTCAACTAGGACCAGGACCAAATGAGACTAGAACCCAGGATCTCTCAACTGGGACTAGGACCAAACTAGGACTAGACGACCCACCTCAGATTCTTTAAAAAATTGAACTTCAAGTATAACTTCCTTTGTAATGTCCTGTGTACTTTCTTATTATTGCAGTAGACTAGGGAGCAACCCAACACTAGAACCAAGGATCTCTCATCTAGGACCAAACTAGGACTAGACCATTCAATCCTACTTCTTATAGTATTTGGATGCCAAGTATTACATTCTGGTGGAAAGAAAGTCCTGTTTAATATTTGGTTTGAAACCGAATAACCAATATGATATTTTCCAACTGAACATGCAAGTTATGACTGGATATTTTCCTTATCTTAAGTTCTACTGTTCAGCTAGCAGTTGCATAGAACTTGATTAATATATTAACTACAATTCATAAGGAGCTTCCTTTGTAATGTCCTTCATACGTTCTATCTATTTCAGTAAGCTAGGACCATACTAGGCCTAGAACCAAGGATCTCCCAACTAGGACTAGGACCAAACTAGGACCTAACTCTAGTTCTGAAAGTGATTGAATTTCAAGTACAATGTTCTATTGGACAGGACATCGTTTGTACCGTTTAATTTGACATAGAACAATCAATATTTAACTTCGAATCTAAATCAAAAGTTTGGCTGGAGTATGTCCTTCTTAAGCTTCATTGAATTTCCATCAGAAATAAGGTCGAATTTGGTAAAGCATACTAAGTGGAATTCATGAGGAAAGAATCCAAAGGTCCCAAACTTGTGTCTTTTCACTAGTCCAAACACTACCATGGTCAGAAAACACCGTAAAACACAGTGTTGTGTAGCGTTTTTTCATACTCAATTCACATCTACACCAACGAACGCTCTCTAAATGGTCATTTGAATTTAAACACGATTTGATTGGGACTCAATACGGAAATATTTGGACAGAATCCCAATGGTAATCAAATCTGAAATTTCGAATTTAAATAGAGCTCCTTTCCCAATATGTACTTACAATCCAATTAGAGCTTTAACAGGATTTGATAAGGAAAGAACCCAAGCCTGTATTCAACATTCAAGAATCAATATCCTCTAGACAAGTCTTCTTTGCAAACGCGAGTCTAGGCCCGAGCGAAACCCATTGAAACCGACTGAAATTTCAGCCGAGCCTGGGTTCAAGATGAAATAAGAAAACCTTGGCCTACAATCTTGAATGTGGGCCTAGATTGAAAGAGATTGAATAATCAGGACTTGGATGCTTGCACAACACTGTGCCAAAGTACAGCCGCGCAAAGTGTAATGTTGAATTTGGGTCTCGATTTAAACCGATTTAAACCGATTTGAGATTAAATCGGGCATGGATTCAAGATTCCAAGATTCAAGAATCCAGGCCAAACTTTTCCAGGGAATCTTGAATCCAGGCCTCGATTTAAACCAATTTAAACCGATTTGACTTAAATCGGGCATGGGTTCAAGATTCAAGAATTCAGGCCAAACTTTTCCAGGGAGTCTTGAATCTTGAATCTTGAACCCATGCCCGATTTAAGTCAAATCGGTTTAACTCGGTTTAAATCGAGGCTTGGATTCAAGATTCCCTGGAAAAGTTTGGCCTGGATTCTTGAATCTTGAATCCATGCCCGATTTAAATTAAATCGGCTTGAATCGGTTTGAATCAAGCCTGAAGCTTCCAGAACGTCGTTGGAAATGTTTCTTTTTCATTGCTGTCCCCAAAGCTCAAAACAGGGTAGAAACCACTGCAAATACCAGTGAATTCTTCAAAAAGGTAGGTCCCTGGGGGTGTACCATGTGTGTATATATATATATATGTAGGGTCACCCCCTCCAACCCCTGATCCACACCTAGAGTGGTGTATGCTCGCAAACACTGTCTAATATAGTCTTCTCAACATTGTCCCCACGTTTGGCGTGATCAGATTCTGACCTGATTCTGACCTGATTCTGTTCAAACTGATTAAACCTCTGCATGTTTTGTCGCATGTGATGAAGCAGACAGTCTCCATTGTTTAGCAAAATGTGCTTTTTCTGGAATGAGACTGGTTGGCTGCTAGATGGGTTCAGATGAGCTCGCAGTGGTTCCAAATGAAGCAGGCACTCATAAAGCCTGCTTCCAGGAGCCCAAAGTGCGGAGAGCTCCCTCGTTTTCTGGTTTCAACTGCCCAAGCTGCCGAGTCCCTGACAAACCTACAAACCTAGCCTCTCGTCGCCCGCTCTCCAGGGCCCGAAGGCTGTTGAGTCGGCTCAGAGGTCCCAAGTCGGATCTTAGCTAGAATTCAACTACCGTTGGTATTTTGAACTAGATGTTGACTAGGAATATTGTTCCACGTAGTACGTAGTTCTCTAAGTAGAATACACTTAGAACCCTAGTGAGGAAGACAAGCTGGTTGTTTCTTCTCAGTAATTTAACTAGAATTATCATGGTTAAACAGGAATTTATTTGCAATCATGGTTTACAATAGAATGTGAATGGAATTCAAGAAATATGTCTCATTAGGACTCTTACTTTGAATTGGATGTTTAACAGGAATAGGAGCTTAGCTAGAATGTAGAAATAATCGAAAACGGAAAAACAAGCTGTTCGCTTCTTCAAATTTGCCCTCCCCTTAAAAGGAGTGGACATAGAAATCCCGGGAAAATTTTCAACCTGAAGGCTTTAAGTTTGAGTAAGGGTTCTTGTTAGAATTTCATCGACATGTGTATTTTGAATTAGATGTTTATCAGGAGTTCCTTTCCAAGTAGGATCTTAATTAGAGTTTAAATAGATTCTAGTGAGGAAAAACAAGCTGGTTGTTTCTTCAAATGTGACTGCCCACGGAAAGAGCAATTTTAGTTCTATTACTTTGCCAGTGTCAAGTTACAAGTGTTCAAGTTTCAGAAGGACATTCATTCGAAGTCATTTTTATTTTGAATGAGACATTCAATAGGAACTTCTTTCCAAAGAGAAATTCAAACAGAATCTAGCCAGGAAAGACAAGCTGGTTGTTTCTTGTAATCTCTCCGCGCCTTCAAAGGAGGAAGAAACCGACAACACATCTCAAGGAAAATGCAAGCTCATCATTGGTTTGGAGTATAATTTTGAATAGAATTTGTAGCTTGAATTTGGACTTCCTTTCAGGCCTCTCTTCAGCACATATGTGACCACCATGTCTCTGCTCTACACCTTTAGGGTGGGTCCCGGGAAGGGGGGGGGGGGGCTGGCGCACATACATACATATATGTTGGCACAACAAAGATGTTGCCGAAAAATGTGCAGAGAAAACAGCGACGTGGATCGTGGGAGGGGGTAAGCATACACATATACTACATATACATGTATAATACACAATATATAATACAAATGTGTGCTTGTCGTGTGTGTGTGTGTGTGCATACGGCTGCTCTACGTTTCCCGCGATTTCGCAGCGCACATGTTCTCCCATCGTCTTTGTCAGTCGACTTGGGGCGGCAAGTCGCAAACAGCCAAACTTCTGGGGATTCTCCATTCTTTCCAAGAAAACCATCAACAATATTAGGGAAATGGCCGGTTTTTGCAAAGAACGATAGCTGAAAAGATTGGGAAAGGAATCAACCCCTAGAAAACAGCCAAACTCAGCCGGTGGCACGAGATACTTCAAATAGTGCTGCACGCCTTGGTTGCTGTTGACCCCCCTGCAAAAAGATTTTAACCTTTTGGGGGGTTAGTGGAAAACCCAACTTGATTTCAACCAAAATGTTAAAGTCTAAAGATCCGTTACCCAATAGCAGTCACGACACTTGCCAGCACCGCATAGAAGAGCTCCTGCACTCGGTCCGAACCGATGCCAGACAAAAGGTACAGCAACACCGGCAGCTGCAGCGCCAAAAGCACCACATGGAGCTGGGTGGAGGTGGTGTATTCAACGCCCTTCTCCATGTCTCTCACTTGAACCAAGCTGCAAACCAAGCCATTCATGGAGTGCTATAAACATAGTACATACCGAAAAAATAGAAACAACGACATATAAAAATAGCATATACCAAAAATAGAAACAACGACACATTTGCGGTTACCTCTTCGTTCTCAAGAGAATTCCCTGAATCGGAAGGCGAGAATTCAAGGCGCTCTTGCCGCCAGGCGTCGTTTCCGCTTGCCCGGAGATGCTGTGCCTTAGCACACCGCCTCTTCGGCCCGCTCCCAAGGGCCTTTTTTTCTTGGAGACCACTACTCTGCAGTGGCAAGGTTTGGATTGGGTTACGGTTTTAGGCTTAGGCTCTGGTTAGCTCGGTTGCGAAATCTGCTCCCCTAAAAGTGACTAACTGCTAGCGGTTTAATGCGGAAAACCCAGCAGTTGGCAAAAAGTTGAAGTCCTAACATCCAAGCAGAATGCACCAGCGTTAGGCCTTGTTCCCTTTGGCACACCGAAGGCCAAGCGTGAGAGACTGGTGAGCTGAAGGCCCGCGCAGTCGGGAGAGATGGCGACAGTAGAAGCCCCGGAACAGCGGGTAAGCCTCTCGCTCTCTCCAATGGTTTCTTCGAATAACGGCCCATAAACCGAAATGAAGAAAGCGGACCTTATTAATTCAAAATGGAGAAATGCGGCACGCGACGACGCAGAAGCATGCCACTTGTGCAGATAATTTCGAGGGTTATGTTGCGCAATCGAGGATACATGTTGGGGCCTGGTTTCTTCGGTGAGGCGCCGAGAACGACGGACAAAAGGCGACGGCCGTCCGACCCGCTGCGACTCCCCGCTGAAACCGCCCCCGGCCGTCTCCAGGCGGTCCGAAAGGAAGGCGAAGGGGCACGCGTAGTTGGAGAAGCCTTTAAAGGGCACCACCTCCAGTAGCGAGCGAGCCGGTTCTCTGAACGCAAGGGGCGCAAGGGGCGCAAAGGGGGAGTGACGTATGCTCACAAGATAGGATTAAGACCTGATCTCGCCCACACAGGCCGCAAATCCAGGAATTTGCAAAAACACAAACAAAAAAAATATCAAAACAAAATCCGAAAAACTCAATCTGAAATAGTCTGAATCTGGGAAGACTCAAAAGAAACTCAAAAAAAACTCAAAAACAACTCAAGCAGGGGTCTGGGGAGGGTTCTGGGGGTGGGGGAGGGGCAAAATGCAAAACAACCGCAGAAAACACAAAAGAAAAACTCAAAAAAAAACTCAAAAACAACTCAAGCAACAACTCAAGCAAGGGTCTGGGGAGGGTTCTGGGGGTGGGGGAGGGGCAAAATGCAAAAACAACCGCAGAAAACACCCAAAAAAAACTCGAAAACAACTCAAAACAACTCAAACATCAAAACAGACTCAAACAAAACTCAAAAAAAAACTCAAATATCCTGCTATGTGTTTGTTGTGTTTTGTTTGAGTCTCCTGCTGTGTTTTTGTGGTGTTTTTTTGAGTCTCCTGCTGTGTATGTGTTGTGTTGTTTTTGAGTCCGTGTTTTCAGCTGAGTTTGTTGGCTGTTTTTTTCTGAGTTGTTTTGAGTCTTTTTTTGTTCCGCTAAAACCTCTCCTGTCTGAGCCCGTCTGGTCATAAAGATAGGAAACAAGGCAACCCATGGAAAACGAAACCTGCCGTTCTCTCAAAGCAAACATTGCGCCCAACAAAAATCGGAGCGTTGGATCACCCGACAACTCGAAGATTTGACCGCCAGGGCCCGAGCGCCGGAGGGAGGCAGGAACTGCTCGCCTTCGCCTGCGGTGTCTTTGACCACAGCCTCGGATGCGGGAACCGAATTCCGCACAAACTGCTGGTTGCTCCTTCTCCGGTGCCTGGCTGTGGGTCAAAAATCAGTACCCAGGTACATGAAGACATGGATGCAGCATGGGACCGTGACCTCGGAAAGCGCTGGACCTCGCTGAGCCACGGCCTCTCCCACCACCTCAGCCCGGACAAGCGGCTCAACACCACCTGCCGAGGCTCGGGAGCCGACGATTGGGATCTGCGGCGACCTCAGACATGTACCCTCCCTCCCATGGCATCTGTAGGAGGGTACCTGGACCCACAGAATTCCCTTAAAAATGGGCTTGACCCCCAAATTTGGGGGTGATATCCCGTTTTTATGGGTAGTTTGAGGGTCCAGGTACCTTTAAGATCTGTTTCCTCTTGGAGGGACCGGGTCCCTGTCGGTTGCCATGTTAGTGGGAGAGAGGGTAGCCAAAACTCAATCCTGGGACTGCCTGCTCGCCCCTTTTCTCACTAGAACAAAAATGATGGCCCTGCTAAATAAAATGAAACCAGGTAAACCAGGAATCGAAACCCATCTATGTTTCTACGAAAATTCCACCAAAACGGACAAACTCTTCTGCTTCAGCCCAAACTCACTGGGAGCTGCCTGCTTCAAGGCTCACGGCCAAACGACCGATCCGCGTCCGAGGACTTGGCCCGCTCTCGCAGAGCTTCGACACCTGCGGGTCCCGACCTTGGCCGTTTAAAACGCTCACGCCCGATCGATGGCCCAAGCAACCAAACGGTTTGTTTACCACTCAAATACTAGTACCAACATGGTCCAAACCCAAACAGATTGCTGTTGTTGCTGTTGTTGTTGTTGTTTTGTTTTGTTTTTTGTTAAAAAAAAAACAAAAACTGGAACTCAGGAAGTGAGGGTATTAAAATGGTGTAATTACCCAGAACCATGTAAAGAACTCACCAGGCGGCCGCACCCATGTATGGTTGGGATGACCCCTTCATTGTGGCTCAAGTCAAGGAGCCTTGAGCCCATAGCGAAAATGACATGTCGAGTCCCGAAAAATCTGCGAGTGATACTGTGGGTGGACGAAATCCGCGTCTCGCACCATTTTGAAACCATGGGAAACCATTGTTTGCTGGTATTTACAGGGGAAACATCATTCCAGGGTGTCTTAGGTGGTGCAGAATTTCATCCACGCACAGTATGGAGAGGAAATGCATACCAAACTCCTAGTACCTGCCAATGACAGATGCAAATTTACTATCTACGCCGAGCCAAGCCGCACCAAAATCCAGGGCCAAATTAAACAACCGAGAATTCAGTGAATAAACCGGTAGTTTCCACCATAAAACCCTGCTGAAAAGCAATGAACCTGCTCCTCGAAACAAAGGCAAGGTGGTCCAACTAGAATAGTTTGACTCGCAACCCGTACAAGCACCATAAACCAGCTTCCCTCCAATTGGTGGTTGGGATTGGTGGTTCGGTAGTGTTCCGGAGAAGTTTCCCATTTACCCACTACAGCGAAAAGTTCAAATCCAAATCCAAAGCACTAATCCAAACCAACTAAGGGAGACTTCAGCTGGGACATTTGCTTGCTGGTGCTCAGCAGGGAATGAGAAATGGAATGACCCCGAGGAAAACCATCCAACCAGTGGTTTCCTTTGTGGTAATCCCCTTCGGATTCATTTCCACATTCTCTACCTATCGCACCAGCAAGTCAACTTCTAGTACTCGTTGTGGTTTTGTGGTACTCACTTTCCAACCCTTGGTAATTACATGCCCCCCCTTTAAAAAAAGGAAACAAATGCTCCCCTTGGTGCTTTACAAACACCCTACGCGCGTATTTCAGCCGGGACATTCCCCTTCTCCCCCTGCCCCCCAACCCCCGCCAAATGCTTTATTTGGTGCTTTAGAGCTCAAAAATGGGTGCCCAAAATGGAACCCTGGTAAATGGAAACAAATGCGAACACATGCCGTGCCCTGGTGATTCTAATTTTGACCCACAGCCAGCTTCTTCTGGAACCCATGCCCTTGCCCCCTCAAAAAAAAAAAAACATGCTCCCCTTGGTGCTTTGCAAACCCCATACGCGCGTATTTCAGCCAGGACACTCCTCTGGAACCCAACGTCAGGTCTCCCAGGCGCGCGACTCCCGGGCCCCAGGGCTCAGCGCCAGCACCAGCGCCTCCACCAGCTCGTCGAAGGGGAAGTAGGACACGTCGTTGGCGCCTCGGAAGGACGAAAAAACCCGGGCGGAAGGCGGTGACTCCACGCGAAGCCATGGCTTCGAAAGCCATGGTTGAAAACCAATGGGATCCCATTTTGGGGTAGGTGCACCACCCATTTCAAGTCGGGATTTTAGTGGGGATTGGGATGTTCACCGGGGTACGGGTTTTTGACCCATGGCCAAATGACCCCATATTGGTTTCCATTTGGGAGAGATCCACAACTTTATCGGCTTGGAACTCAATGGAGGGGCGAAAAACAAATCAGAAGGTTGGTTGGTATTTACGTTGGGGAATCGAATCAGAACCCAGGGTTTCTTGGGTGGTGCAGGATTTCGTCCATCCAGTTGGGTGCTTAAGGAGGGGTTTCCCATCCACCACAAGAATCAGGGGTAACAACTGGCGGTTTCTTGGTGGCATCTCAGCGCTTCGCGCAGGGTGTCTTCCCTGCATATTTTCCATCCTCACGCGTCCCAGTGCCCAGGGCCCCCACAATGTTCCGCGACATCCAGGCGGAGCACATCGTCCGTGAGCCACTCCCACCTCAGCGAAAACCCCAGGGAATGACAACCCTGAAGCGCTGGAAGCTTCACCGACGATTCGTGTATGGCCTGGCTATGCTGGGCTGCCCCACTCGCAAATGCCACGGGCGGCCTCCTGGCAACCAACGGCCGGCGACTTTTCGGAGTTCAGATCTGCATGGCTCCAGCAACAATCAGTGCATGTGTGCCGCTTTTTCTAGGCGGGTCAGAACAGCCAGCTGATTCTCCTCACACGACCCTCCGACCCTCGGCTTCGCTTCCCTCGTGGAGTGGTGGCCGAGCAAGCAGTCAACCGCTGCCCGCTCCTGAAGGGCAGCACCATGTTTGGCCTGCGAGACGCGAGCTCTCGACACGGCTCGACCAGGGACTCGGGGAACACTCGAAATGGACTTCCGAAAGCACGTCAGTCCATTTCTAGGGGTACCTTCCATTTCCATTCTTTCCAGGGATCTTTCCAGAAAACCTCCAGAGACTCGGGGAAAACGGATCCGGTGTTTGAAGAGAACGATGTTTGAAAAGAATGGAATTGGAACCCACCCCTGGACCATTTGGTCCTTTGTCAAAAGTAAGGGACCCCGTTTCCCTTCAAAACCATTCGATAAGCGGACAACTATGTTGAGAAACACCCATTTTGAGGCGGATCAAATGCACACAGCAACCTCTCCAAACACGCAGGCGCGGCACCCAGGCAGGCCCCCCAGACCTGGCCACGGTCGGCTTCCTCCCAAAGTCGTTGAGAGGAGGGAGGGAGAGAGGGAAGGGAAGGGAAGGGAAAAGGGAAGGGGAGGGGTAAGGGAGCCCAAAATACGGCCCTTGAAGCACAACCTGGGTCCAAAAGAAACCAGTTTGCGGACAAGCCCAAAGGGAAAACTGACTGGCCAGCGCCCGCCTCACGCCGCAGGCTCGGCGAGACCCCGAAGCGCGCCAGGATCTGGCAAGCCGGGAGAGGCGGGTGGGTGCGCGGGTGCGCGGGTGCGCGTTGGCCGGGGCGCAGTCACTCGAGGTGTGGCAACCACCAAACCAACAAACCACCGGGCTCCAAGCCACGGAGCTGGGGGGGGGGGCCTGCGGGGGGGGGTGAGACATACTGTGGCTGGTGGCGAAAATCCGTTTTCTTGGGGTAGTCTACCTTCTCAGAGTCGGTCACGCTACTGTGGATGGACGCGAAATGCTCTTAGGCGCCACCGTTCAGAAACCCTGGTTTCTGATTCGATTCCCCAACGTACATACCAACAAACAATGGTTTCAACCATGGTTTCAAAGTGGTGATGGATTTCGTCCATCCACAGTATGAAGAGCTTGCTTTGCTTGGTGCTCAGCAGGGAATGAGTGAATGAACCCAGGGGTCCCTTTCTCATTTCTGATTCCCTGCCTATCGCACCAGCAAGTTTGGCATCCAGCATCTAGTCTCTAGGGTTGCTTTTTGCCCCACCCGCCCCACCTACCCCAACCAGCCCTACCCCCAAAGCAGGACGTAGCTTCTGCGTTTGGCCTTGACCCCGCGACAGCGCCTGCAGCTCTGCGGGGTATGCATTGACCTGACGCACCAGTCCAGCGAATTCCATGTCGCACCACTTGGACACCATGGGAAGTCATTTCATTGTTGGTATTTGCAAAGGAATCATCATTCCACCTATTCTTAGGTGGTGCAGGATTTTGTCCATCCGCAGTAGTAGTATCCAAAAGCCTTCGGCAACTTGGATTTGAGTGCAGTAGGTTCATGTCAAGGCCGTTCTTTGGGAACTTTATGCGACATGTGCAAAAAGGCAACTAACAAACTGACAAGTTACTTATGCAGCAAAAACGTGTCACAAGGAATATCGATCTTCCATAGTTTCAAGGTTCCGGTGTTGAGTTTGAATGCCAACATGCTCAAAACGAACAAAGCTAATCAATCAAGGCCCCAATGTCCACTCTCCCTCTCAAGCGACATGAGAACATGATTATTTCCAGGGTAAACCGTGTTGATCCTTTGGTTGACATTTACATGAGAATCCATGTCCGCCTATACTCCTTTAGGCTGCTCTCTACTACATGTCATATCATACCACGTCCCTTGTTTCAGGTGCCTCCAGGCCAACGTCAGGCCAAAGTCCATCCCCCCCCCCCCGGCGCGCCAGCAGCTTCTGCCCCAGCCGGCGCCGCTTCATCTCCAGCTTCGCCGCCTGGCAAAGCTCCCGGGCGGAAAAAAAGAAGAAAAGCCTTGGCTCGCTCAAACAATCTCCATGTAAAGCAGTGGCACATCAAAAGAGCTCCAAAACTCACAAAGGCCAAGGTGCGGCTTTTTTTTTGTGTTTCGTGCACCGAGGCACGACCAACTAGTCCGTAAGGCGCGGAGACGGAGCCTCCGCTCTGGCGTCTCGTGCCTCAGCCCGGCGGCCCATCCCAGCGCGGCGCGGCCGCTCTGAGGCTGTGGCTTCCGGCAGCTCGGGCACCTCAGGGCGATCCATGGCTCGGCGCCAAAGCATCAGCGCAGAATCCCCCACCCGTCGGTCCGTCGGTCCAAAAAAAGGGTCTGTCCAGAAATATGTTTCAATAACCAAGGCGGCATTCCGCACATGGCAAGCGGACTGTGCCTTAACCTTCATCCACCCGAATCGGTTTGAAGCAAGTGGCTCAAGTGACCACAAGCGGCTCGGGTAACCCTCCCCTGACAGCCGTGGTGCACAATTCGCCCACCTCGGCCCAGGAATTCGATGGGCGCCAGACCCCCAAGTGCCCGTAGCCCGGCGCCAGCTCCCCGTACCGCAAACGCAGCTCTTCCAGGCTCCTGAAGGAAAAAAGGAGGTGATGGCTCGCGGCTCGTGGCGAATTCGCTCGCAAATGGCAAGTAATGATAAGGTTGCTCTGTCGCAAGCAGACCTAACTTTCAGCGACTCGTCTTAACTTGTTTGAGGGTTTGTTGAGGTTTGAATCGGCGTTCTTCGAGAACGATCAGGGAGAGTCTTGGGCGGAGAGAGGCATGGAACACCCGCTTGGAATCTTCCGAGCGACTACAGCAAAGTCCAAGAAAACCATCGTTTCACATTTGTGTGGTCAACATTGGGTGGGAAGACAAAAAGGAATGCTTTGCTATAACGAAAGAACAAGTGTAGAGAAGAAATTGCCATGTTGCTTCTGTCAGCCTGCAGCCAGAGGTTATTTCAGAGTTGACTTGGGACGCGTGGATTTTGGGACCTGGGCTGAGCCTTTCAGCAGATTTGAAGGTCTCACCCAGTGAGAGCGGATGTGGCTATGGTTCAAAACCAATGGGATGCCATTCGGGGGGTTTTCGGTGCACCACCCATTTTTGGTCGGGATTCTAGTGGTTGGATTGGGATGTTCACCGGGGGCTAACCGTTTTTGGGTTTTGACCCAAGGCCATGTAAGAGCCCATCTCAGCCAATGCCACTCGAGCTCCCGAAGCTTCTTTGAGGGATGGCGCCTGATGAGTTGAAACCGCTGATGGAAGACGCCCAAGGAATCAACCAGCCCACTGCCAGCAAAAACTACTTTAAAGGCAAGGTTTGGCCAACAGACAGAACCCCCTCTGATTAAAGGCGTCCCTTTCCTTTCGTTATTTTTTTTTTTTTTTTAAAAAAAAAAAAAAAAGTGTTAAATTAACTGCCAAAGCTATTGCCAATATTTTTGCAAATACTAACTCCTTTCATAGTCTCAAGAGTTGCACTCCAGAAATCAAAACAGCTAGCCGGAAACAGCAAGCATATTATTGCACTTTGTGTGTGTGTGTGTGAAAAAAACAAGGTTTAACAGAAAAACACAAAGCTCTCTCCAGCCCTGAAACAAAAGCAATCTCCCTTTACTGCAGTCCTGTTGGCCAGAGAGAGAGAGAGACAGAGAGAGAGAGGTCCACACAGGAAAGGACCACAGAAAGCTGGTCAGGACCGGATCAACCCGCGGGGGGCCAGAGGGACCCTCCAAAATCTGGCCAAGGATTGCAATGTGCCCTTAGCCAAAGTCAAACTGCCAGACAAAACAATCGTCCCAAGACTCTCCCTTTGCTTTGGACTTCAAATGTGCTTTGGCCTCACAATCTCTTTCCAAATGACTCTCAGAACAACTGCGAACGCCACGTCCAGAAAAATATCCCCAGCCTCAAGTGGATGCCTGACAGGCGCGTACCCAGTCTGGAATACTGTGGATGGACGAAATCCATTTCGCCAATTGGAAACCATCGGAAGCCATTTCATTGTTGGTATTTACAGAGGAATCATCAGAAACCACCGTTTCTTAGGTGGTGCCTAGGATTTCGTATCCTCAGCACAGTGGTACAATGGAAGATACCTACAACAACTAGGAGGGGCTTCAGCGCCAAGCGGCAATGAGCCCCGCAATGACAGGTGACCCGGTGACTGCCAAGAAGAGAAATGAGTGCTGGGGAAGCCTACGACTTCTTTGGCCGTTTCAGGCCGCGGTCTGAAAACTATTCCACTTGTCTGCCCCGCTTTTCCGCTTTCCAGCTCGTCTCATAGCTCAGTTGCTTTCACCACTCCGTTCCTCCAAACGTCGAAGCGTCCAGAAGTCAGCTTTGAAACAAATGAAACAAACAAACACTTCAATCTATCAACCATTGGATGTTTTCACATGGAAACTAAGACTGAACTTCAGACAGACTCAAAGCCACGACCCGCCCGGCCGCTCATCTCGCTGCCCAAGGCGGGCATCGCGCCGGGGCCTGGAGCCGGCGGTTTGCTCCTTCGAAAAAAGGGGCGGAGCTACTGTGGATGGTTGCGAAATCCATTTCGCACCACCCAAGAAACCCTGGAATGAGTCGATTCCCCAACGTACATACCAACAAACAATGGTTTCAACCATGGTTTCAAAGTGGTGCGATTTCTGGATTTCGTCCATCCACAGTAGGTTAGCCGAACATCGGTGGGTTTGGTGGTGAAACGGAGGTGAACCCCAACAATTGTACCTGGTGCTCACCACTCCCCAAAAAAAATCAATCCACCAACTAAGGCGTACCTGAGTACACGTTTTGGGTCACCACTGAAGAAAGAGCCGCCAAGAGAACAAAGTGTCAAGTCTATCCACTGGCCACTGGCAGGGAGAGGGTATACTTTTCCTCCAAGAATCCATGGTGAATGGGGAAGGATTGCACTCCATGCAGACCCCCTGAAGCTCACTACGCGGGGAATCCAGTTCCAACACATTTCGCAGTCCCTCCGAACGGTCATGGCAAGCTGGGCCTTCCCAAGAACAGCATTCCAAAGACCTCCCAGCGTGCACGTTTTTGGCAGCGTGGGGCGACCCGGATGCGCCAACCCGCAAGTCTGAGGCGGCCGACGGTTGGAACTGTCACGCGCCAAACGGGTCCTCGGAAAGCAACCATCTGCCAACACAAAGCCCGTGGCAAAAGCTCGGCGCTGTTCTTGCACAAAGGTTCTCTCAAATTGACACCCCACGAGAATTGTTGCATCTTTGGTTGGCGGAAGAGTGGCTCGAATCGCTCACCCTCTTCTCAGGAATGGATCCCCCTTCTTCGCAAAAACGGGTCGGTAGCTTCGGGTGACGGGGTGCAGAAGACTCTGCAGCCTGGGCTCCGCAAGTCTCGGGTGATCCTCAGCTTCGATTCCAGACATGGCGGAGGGAGCTGCCGCACGCCCACGCTTTCCCCAAAGAAAAATTAGGTCTGACCAACAACAATACGGGCAACTCACAGGGGCTGGGGGGGGGAGAAGAGGGGAGGGGAGGGGAGGGGAGGGGAGGGGAGGGGAGGGAGGGGAGGGGAGGGGAGGGAGGGGCTCCCTCAAAAGTAACGTGGCGCGACTTTATGTCGTGGCTCAGGTTGTAGAGGCTGTTGAGGTCCACAATGTGGCGAGTGCTAACCTGGCGTGATGTCCATCTGTCCATCTGATGCGCGAGGTCAAAGCGGAAAAGAAAAGCACACACACACGTCTTCTAGACACCATCTGGAAGATACTGATGCCGACAAACAAACAAACAAACAAACAAACAAACAAACAAGCAAACAAGCAAGTAAACAAACAAACAAACAAACAAGCAAGCAAGCAAGCAAACAAACAAACAAACCAAAAAGCAAACAAACAAGTGCAGGTAAAAGGCGCTCCACAAGCTTCCGGCTTAGTCTGTCCCCCTCGAACCTGACCCGTAGGTGTCATAGAAATCGCTCCCTCCCGCGACCTAAGCGGAGCTGCGGGTCGCCTCCTCCTCGCGCGGCTTGCCTGGATTGTCCTCCGACCTTGTCAGGTTGCATTTTCTCGAGAATTGAGCATTTGGGGGGATACGGCCATGGGGCAAAAGAAGGAACCACCAGTGAACATCCCAATCCCCATTAAAATAGACTAAAATGGGTAGTGCACCTACCCCAAATTCGTACCATTGGTGTTGACCCACGGCCACCTAGGAACTTTGACATACGCGGCCCACGCTGACGCCTGGCGCGATCAAGGCGCGGACGTGAGCGGCTTTGGCCGACGCCGCAGGAAGGGCTGCCGCTGCTCCTGGATGTGATCTAAAGATAGGGGTTTGGGACGCGCTAAGTGTCCCTTCAAACACCATCTCGCTGTGGGTCAAAACCGATGGTACCATTTTGGGGTAGGTGCACCACCCTTTTAGTCTATTTTAGTGATGATGGGATGTTCACTGGGGGTACGGGATTTTGACCCATGGCCATCTAAAAGAAGGCCCACACCAATTGTCCAAATGCATAAAACAAGTACAACGTTGCATGGCAAGTTTAGGGAATCAAGTGCACCAGCAGGGCTCAACAAATAGAACATAAACCACTTCTAGGAGTCGATTCCTCCCAAATGGTTGATGCCAGCCACGAGCGTCATGCCCACTAAAGGGTCTCTAACCAAATTGTCCACCCATGGCATAACCTGCACCCTCCTTGTTTGCACTTTTATTTCAATGGGGTGCCCCCCCCTCCTTAAAATCCTCCCCCCGAAAAAAAAAAAAAACAAATAAAAAAGAAAATGAACAAAAAATAAAAAGAAAAAGAAGAAGACAAAAAAAGCCGTGCACAAAAAAGGACAAAACCTTTTGAAGCCCCGGGCACCGCAGAACCCACCGGGAAGTTGCCTGGGAGAGCTTCTGGAGCCGCTGCAGCAGCAGCTCCGACCACTGGCGCCGCGCCCAGTCCACCTCAGCCGCTCGCTTCAGTCGCGGCGGGGGTTCTCGCGGCTTCGGGTTTTCGGGTTTTGGGGCGCAAGAGCTGCGATTTGGGGCAAGTCGTTAAAGCCTAAGGGGAAATCCAGATTTTTGTTCTGAGAAGCAAACCCTAGAGACTAGATGCTGGATACCACACTTGCTGCTTCCATAGACAGGGGCCTGAGAAATGAATAACCCCCGACAAAAACCATTCCGTTCAGCGGAGGCAGTGTGAGGGCAACGTGAGTTTTGGCTCGCAAGCGCGGCATCGCCATGGGAACGGATACGCGGGCCGATCTCAGCCAGGAGATCCAGGCGTAGCTTTCGCAGCGCTTCAAACCTCTGCCCTGGCTGAGAGTTCAAAACTCAGCTCGGAGATGGTTGCATGAAAAACTGCCATCGAAGAACCCTAGCGCTCATGGCGAAATATGTCCGTCCCATCTCCGCAGCCTTAACGTTAAATCAATGCTTCACATGTCTATGACTCATGCGACATGGGGCTGCAAATCGTGGCTGAAGACCATCTGACCAATACAGGAAACTGGAAGATGCGGGAGGCTGTTCCTCCAGAAATTCTCCGAATTGGTCGTCAACCGACGTGTCCGTGTACGTGCGATCAGCCAACTACGGTCAGACTCTCCACCTTTTCCAGGTGGAAGCTGCCGCGCCGTAGCACCGCCTGGCGAAAGGGCGGGTTCGGTGCTTCCCAGAAGCCTCCGGAGCTGGAAGACTTCGCGCCAACCCCATCTCACGCTGCCTGGAGGCAAGCCTCCCGTGAGCCACCCGTGCCAAGAATGGCTCAGTTGGGGTATGGGTCAAAACTAAACCGGGGGATCGCAGATTTCCGGGCAGGCTTCCATTTACCGATCGGGTTCCATGTGGTTTTTGTGGGGGGGAAGGGGGGGGGCTTGCCCTATTTTCAGAAAATGGCTCGGTTTGGGCATGGGTCAAGATGTTCAACCACTGAAAGACCGCCAGGTGTCCATTTGCCGGTTGCGTCAAGAATGTTAGGGTTGACCGATTTATCGACGGTAGCCACGCCCAGTTTTCTAGGCGCACCTTCCCCATTCTTCCAGGGATCCTTCTTTCTAGAATTTTCTAGAAAACCTGAGTTCGGAAAGAACGATGGTTTCAAAAGAATGGACAAGGAATCCACCCGAAGTTTGGCCCCCCCCCCTGCCCCCCGGCCCAGTCGCTCGCTGGATCGCCCGCCTTGGCGAGCTCGCCCTGGTTCTCCATGGCCTGCGCGCGGTCCGCGAGGAAGGGCGCCTTCCACTCGTTGTAGACCTGCCAGGTCCAAGTGGGGCATGGGCGGCTTATGTGTTTGGAGGGCACCCACTTCTTTGATGGGCTTTTGGTGGGAGAATATCCACTGGTTGGCAGTTTTTGGTCGGAAACCAACAGGAAAAACACCGACTCCCACTTGTTGGTGGTTTCTTAAAAGGGAAACCAAAAGGAAAACCACCCATTTCCACTAGCTGCAGGTTTTAAAGGGAAGCCAGAAGCAGAACCACCAACTTGTGGTGTCCCCTAACGAAAGATACCACTACGTGGAAGCTGGCTGCCCAACTTTCTATGAACCAAAAAAGGGGTTGAGACAAGGGCCTGCTTGATTCTGCGCATCCACTCACACGCAAAGCCTGGGCCCAAGCGCGTCTTTGGACCTGGTACCCTGTTGGGGGATTCTTTGGGAAACCCAAGGGACGCCATTCTTCTTCTTTCTGGGGGGGGGGGGTACAACCGCATGTGTTTCTGTTGCTGTGAATCGGAAACTCAGCGCATGTCCCTCCGAATTGACCATGTGAGTGATAATCAAAGCCCGGTATTAAAACGGTCTACCCAGAACCGTGCAAAGAATTAAGAAGGCGGCCGCAGCTATTTTTGGTTGGGAGCATCCCCGGCTAACCTTAATCTACCCGAGTTTTGATTGTGGCTCATGTGCGAATGTTCGACAACTTCACCCGTTTCCCTTCCTTCTGCAGCTCCTCCACATAGCGCTGGTGAAGCTCGTCGATCTGCTCCTGCACGCGAGCTGACAAGCACTTTGCCTCTCAGCTGGGAAACAAAAAACTGCCAGTTGTGGGGGGCCTGACTCTATGTCCTAAAGCTAGCTGGACCCCTCAAATTGTTCTTCCCCTTTGGCCTTCAAATCCATTCTCAAAGTGGGCCAGCTGCCTTTGGGCCACTTCGCTCGTGCCTGTGTAGGCTTCGGCACCGGCTTGTCCACGTGGATCGGTCGACCCACCACTGACTGCACCTAGAGGCTCACTTTTCACATCACCCATGTCCCCACGAAAAGCTTCAAGGGTCTCATCCCAGAGAGCAATAATCCGTATTTCTAGGAGTACGTTCCCCATTCTTTCCAGGGATCCTTCTTTTCAGGAAACCATCAAAAACCCAGGGGAAACAGCCGGTTTTGAGAAGAGTGATGGTTGAAAAGAATGGACAAGGAATCAATCCCTAGAGTATTGCCGACAATCAAGAGTCGTAGGTCCCAACTGCAAGGACCACGCCCCGCACAAGAAACTCTCGCCGTCACGGTGGTTTTATGTCCCAATGAGAGTTTCATTGCTAGGCAGCCGCGCCGGCATGCGCAGAGGCATCACCCCTCTGGACAAGCCGAAGACTCGGTGTAGGACGCCACCTGCCATTGTCGCCTCTTTCAATCGCCATTTTCTTCAAAGTCATATTCAAATCCGAGCGTTGTTCTGGGAGACACAACCTCTTCGGGGTTCATTCTGTGTCGTTTAGAAGGAAGGACACGACGTGGAACCCGTCTGAGACATCTATGAAAGCATTCATTGCGCACTCCCTCCTGTTTGACACAATAAATGAATGGATGACATCTTCATGGCGAGTAGTGCATTGCTTCTGCTTTCAACTGGCGAAGCGAGTTTTGCCTTGCTTCTGTTTTCGACTGCTGATAAAGTTCGCAAGACACGGACCGGCCGAACGCAAGCAAGCACAACGAAGTCTCCAGCGCGTGTTCCAAACAAGGAAAAGGGCGGCTCGAACAAGAAAAAAAACATCTGCATTTACATGATGATTGGATGACTTCAAAACCCAAGCGGGCGCGGCTCCGCATATCTTAGCCTGCCTGTCAAAGCTCGGCCAAAGAAGAAGGGGATGCCAAAGCCTGAGAAGACACATGTGTAAGCCACAACGGCAAAGTCATGCCGCATCTTGCGCTCACTTCCCAGCTTCAAACATGCTGAAGCTTGACCGAGCCAATGGTCCAAAACACAAAAAACGCCTCCCGAAACGCCAGCGATGTCGTGAGGAAAAAATCCGAGGCATCGGCCCATCTGCTTCTGCAGCCAGAGCTGCATGCGGCGGAAGCGGCTGCTGGCGAAGACTCCGAAAAGGTCCGTCTCACCAAAGGAGAAGACCTGGGTATGGGTCAAAATGAAACCACCAGGATATGGACCGGTTTTAGTCCTTGGTTCCATTTACCGATCGGGTTCCATTTTGGGCACCTATTTTTGACAACCACAGCCACCTGACGGTGGATCTCAAAACTGGCTGGATCCGGATCTACCCCCCGCTGGTCGGTCCGGCCCTCCGGCCCAAGCATCCATTGGGCAATATGCAACTAGGCACCCTTGTTTGGACAAGAGGTAAAGAGGCAAAGAGGCAAAGAGGCAAAGAGGCAAAGAGGCAAAGAGGCAAAGAGGCAAAGAGGCAAAGAGGCAAAGAGGCAAAGAGGCAAAGAGGCAAAGAGGCAAACCAAATGTTGAACATGGCCCTTCTCAGTTGCCATGTTTCAACATCACCTTTCTACCCGCCTTTCAACTCGGCGCCATCTGTCCCGCATCTGGTGCTTTTTTGCCGAGGTACTGGCACCAAGGACGTACCCGTCTGCAGGGCCAGCTTCACAAAGCCCTGACCGAGGTGAGGAAAAAATCCCCTTTTCGCCGCAGAACCGAACTCCGTGTTCTTTAGGCACCGAGACGAAAGCCCTGAAACGATGGAAACCCAAGTGGTGCGATGTCATGTCAACAAACCATCCAACGAAACCCAAGTGGTGCCATGTCTGGATGGCCGACCTGATGAGAAACAGGGGCCTGAAGGATGAGATCTGCCTTTGGAATGGTGTCCTTTCGCGCTGCGATTTGTCTGGAGGTCGCAAGCATCAGCAGAAAGGCCCTGAAACATTCAAAAGTCACTGCCTTGAAAAGGGTCGGGGGGAAATCCTGGGCGCCTTTGAAAGGCGATGGAGACTCAACACCTACATCGCCACCTGAAAACACCATACAGCACCGCCTTCTAGGGACTGTATGCAATGGGGAGGGGGCTGTTTTTTAGTGGACCCCCCCCCCCCCAAAAAAAAAAAAGAAAGAAAAATAAATTGCGGTTGTCCTTTTTTGATGTCCGCTTAGCCACCAAACCAGGGTACACTCAACAGACGAGCCACACTCACACCAACCGGAGCAGGCGCCTTTCGGTTTCCCAGGATCAACTTGTTGGATCCCGGCGCGGTCTCCAGAGACTCCCGCGCGCCTGAGCGCGCGACACTCGTCGACTCGACGACAAATTCGCGTCATCTGGGCTTCCTGCTGTGGGTTGCGAAATCCGTTTTTCTTAGGCACCAACGCTCAGAAACCCTGGAATGAGTCGATTCCAACGCAAATACCGCACAGACAATGGTTTCAACCATGGGTTCAAAGTGGTGCAGGATTTCGTCCACCCACAGTATCTCCAAATGGGGGAACCACCAAACAGGCTGGTTACCGGGTTGCACTTGGCTTTCCCTTTCAACAAGCCCTCCAAACAGCAAAAGGATATCGACGACAAAAAACCACTACCACCCTGATTTCTGTGTTGGATTGCGGATGGGGCAAAGCGAACGCAATCCCAGGTCCAATCCCGCAGATCCGAGAAAACAAGTCAAGGTCTCACGCAGGAACCAGATCCACGTCAGCCAAGGCACCGCCAATAACGATCCTCAGTTCTCAGGAGAGCCAGAAATGCCGAGCCAAATCAGGAAGGCTTGG